TGTAGTACCTACTACGGTACCGGTAGTACCTAGCTGGAGCATGGACGAGGAGAGGTTTCAATGATAGGATAGACCAGTTTAAATTAAGGGTGTAGGAAATTGGAACGCTCAGGAAGCTATATAAGCGCCCAGACATTTACCATATCCTTATAGGCTACCTTGACGCGTGGCGTTTCTAATAAATACTAACGAGTTGGTATTGATAATATGCTGGTCAGGCTGGTTAGGCTGGTTAGCATAGCTGGTTAGGTTGGTCAGGCTGGCTTGGTTGGTTGGGCGGGTATAGAATAGTAGGCTGGCTAGGTTGGGTTGGCTTGGATGGTTAAGCTGGCTTGGCTGGTTAACCTGGCTTGGTTGGGTTGGATATGCCTGGTTGGGTTGGGTTGGTTGGTTTAGAGGGTGGTTTGGCTGGGTTGGGCTCCGTTGGTGATATTGGAAGAAATGCATATATTCAATTCGTAACTGTCAGCGTATTGTGCCAACGTCACTTTGACGTCATACGGCAGCTTACGGTACCGGCAAGTAGAAACCGTCAGTGAAATCTGACGGCCGACGACTCTCCACCATGCAAAATACTGTCGACAACTTTGTGGATCCGAAAGTTTTTAGTCGCGACTTCGGCAACGATTCTCAAAGCACAAAAATGGGCACGCACCGCAGATACAATTTCCTTAAATATGTACTTTTTGCATCCAGGCATGCTCTTATAGCTTACGACGTGAGCGCCGATTAGTATTCCAGGTGCTTATATTGTAAAATCAGGCAGTGGCGCCCAGCTCACAGACTTAAAGCTCGTTTCACTTGAAAAGCTCGTTTCTTTACGGATTCTGACATCTGCACGATTGCAAGCGTATGATTATAAAGCCAAGAGAATTTTAGTTCTTTTTGGCTGGCCGGAGAACGTGCAGTATTCAGACCGTCCAGCTTGAAGTTGAAAGCAATGATATTGTCATGCACTCTGGGCAGGGCAAGGCGCCTGATCAAGGGGAAAGGGTGTTTAGATGCAATCCGCTGGACCCTCACACCATTCATGCTGACTGATTGTATCTGATTGACATTGTAATATGGAAGCCCGGTCTTTGTCACGCTGCAAGCTTCGTTACTTTAATGGCGCCTTCGCAGGTTGCGAATCCCAGGCGAGGGAGCAGCGGGCGAGGGGGGCTTCATTTTACCTTGCTGTCTGGGGCTTGCTTTCGCCGAGGAACCCTGCAAGCCACCACCACTCCTCACTTTCCTTCGTTGAAAGATCTGGTGGGGAGGTATCTGCACATGGCTTGCAATGCTGCCAGGCAGTACGGAGCCCGGAGTGTCGCAGTTCCAATTCATATGAGTTATCTAGTAGTTTCACTACTCTCAGTGCACAAGGCAGTCACTCCACCGCGCTAGAGTCTGAGACTGCGCCGGCCGATGATGGCGGAGAGGGGCGCCACACGCTTGAAGCCTCCGGAGTGCACATCCCTGTGGAGGGCGAGCCTGCAGAGAGCCTGCCCTTTGGCTTCCAGCAGGCTCTGCAAGCGGTCCCCTCATTCGGCCCCGTCAAGTACGATGGTTGTGATGGAGCCGAAAGTGAGCGCCACAGAGAGCTTCTTGTGATCTCCACACCATCCCATGCTGCTTGTCTGCAACGGTTTCTAATCTGACCCTTGCTACACCACCCATTGTTTGGAGTGCCACTGCGCCTACTCTGTCGTGTATGATGTCACTCACTCGCCTGTGTGCCTGCAGTCCTGCCCATCATGCCGCTGGGCGCCGTCAAGTTCCCCACTGACGACGTGGCGCTGCAGCTCTTTGAGCCCCGCTACAGGTACACAGACGCCCTTACAGCAGATGTTGCACAGTGGACAGACCCAACGGAGCCCTTGTTTCAGATTTGATGTGCTGTCAAGGTCCCACGTTTATTGCAAGGAATTCGGCATATAGTTTGGGCTCGCTCAAGGTCTACGTTGAGAAAAGAGAACAGCATCCGTCTTGGATGCTGTGTTCCCCAATGTGCCCCTTGGTCCGACTACTCGAATCACTCATCAGAGTCCCTCTTGACAGTGATGATAGTCGAAATGCCCCCCGCGTGCAGGGCCATGTTCAAGCTGGTGAACCAGACGCCGCGCAAGCGGCTCGGCATTGTGTTGGGGGACCGCTTGAACGCCACCATGGAATCGGTGGGGTGCGTGTGTGAGATCCGGCAGTACGTGCCCCTTGCGGCGAGGCGCAGGATCCTGGTGGACGCGCAGGCGACGGGGCGCTTCCGCGTGCACAAGATCCTGCTGGACAAGCCCTTCGTCACGGTGCGGGGCAATCTCAAACAAGCGCACTGCTGATGCTTTGAGGAGTCTTGTATGCATCTCAAAACTTTGATGGGATTCTGTTGATAGGGAAAGGGTACTGCTCTGGCAATACGGGAGGCCTGTTGCCACACGAATGATATCTCTCAATGAAAGGGCTTCGGCTGGTCCTGGCTGCAGGCGGTCGTTGAGGAGGTGGCCGACTCTTCCCCGGCGTCCGTCGCGGAGGAGGCGACTCTGGCGACGCTCGAGATGCGGGTGGCCCAGTGCATGCAGGTGAGCCGGCTCGCCCTTCTTATGTCCTCACAGCCGGCGCTGCAATGTTTTGCGTCTTCAGCCTGGGCGTCCCAGCATCAGCGGTCGTTGGCCTTTCCTGAACAAGTTTCGGTTTAAAGTGCCGCATCAGGCTTTTACCTTTTCCCGGAGCGGGTGACGAGTTAGCTGTTTCGGTTGCGCAGGACGTGCACGCGCTGGCGGTGAAGCTGTACGGACACCTGGGCAGCCTCTCGGGCAACGACCTGTACAACACAGAGGTGCGGCTGCCACACAATTGGGTCATGCTGGATGTCACATGTCACATATATATGGATCTGGTCATCACCTTGTAGGGTGGGTCTGATGCAAAGCTCCTTGGAAGCGGTTCACAGTAAAGAGTTGATTGCTTCCAACAGAGGACTTTTTTACCGTCATGTCTGCATCGTGCCTTTGTCGTTCTGTACGTCGTGCTTGTCCTGCGGTCTGACTTCCACTGAAGTTGCGTCGGTGTTTCTTTGGCTCAGGCTTGGAGGTGGTCGGCCGGCAGTCAACAAGAGGGCGCTTGCACTGACGGCATCCAGCGGAGAGAGCGGTTCTCCTTTGCGCTAGCTCGCACACTAGACGATCTGAGCCTTGAGGAACAACAACAGCTTTTAGAGAGTCAGTCAACGGCTGACCGTCTACGACGAATCGAAACCGCTTTGTTAGAAGGGAGGCAGTATCTGGCTGCTAGGTCGACTCTCCGGGATGCATTTTCGTGACGTGGCAACGTCTGGCTGCTTATTTTCAGTCTGGTCACTCCGTCAACTTCTCCCAAGCAGCCTGGCTGAACGGAAAGCCGCAGCGTCAATCAGTGTCAAACCAATTATCAAATTTATGACATGATTTGGATACATGTACATACAATGAATGTGCGGGCTGGAGCACAACAAAAGCACAACGAAATTGAACACTCTTAATATGCGAAGCTGTGCAGTATTGTATGTATGGCAAAATCTCAGAGTCTGCACCAGGTGGCACTTCTGTGGGTTACCAGCAATTATACTATGTTATAGCCTGGCCGGCTGCAATGAACTCACTGAATTGATCAAGCCGAGTGTTGTATTTCGTCTTTATCGTACAGCTGTATCTGAACTCTCAACCTCCCGGTTACGAGTTAGTCGATGGGTCAACCTGTCAGTTGATTTTACCAACATCTCGCGAGCAACGTCTACAATCCTGAAACCAAAACCCGATACGCCTAGCAGATGCAGCGTTGCTAGATTTTGGTTCAAACCAGAGCAGTCTAGCACGAAAACTGCGTGCTTACGTTAGTGGCATGAAAACGCTAAATCCTCAATGTGCAGTAGCAGCTGTCTATCGTAACGACGGCAAGGCTTGGTAATGAAGGACGATGCTCCTTTATAGGACATTCCGAATGGAAACAATTCCAAGCTAAGGTAGTTCGTGAACCCGGTTCTGTCAGACTGGTAACACGAAGTCAAGCAGCGTCGTGATTTTTCGAGAAAGAGCATGGCGCCAAGTCCCTGCCGGTCCGTTGCTTTATGTTCCCGTCCGTGGTGGTGCGCACCCATGGCCCCGCGTGAGGTTCTGCCGCTGCGGCTGGTCCTCCGTGACGCTCATGTCGAGGCCCCACCCATTCCAGCGTGGCGCGTTGTGCTGCCCGTCCGCATTGATGGCGTCGATGATCTCGCACGCCGTGTCTGGGCCAAAGTCGGCCCCGTGGGGGTCGCACACCTGGAGGAAGTGCGCAAACAACTCAGGAGCAGCCTTGGGGACGCTTTATAGAGTTAGAAACGACTTCGAGGGCAAGAGCTTCGAACTGCCACTAGAGGTAGAAGTGCATTCGGCTTGCTGTGGTCAAGCAACGGCAAACGAGACGGCTATGGCAGCCGAGCCGGGCTCGGAGCTAGATATGAACGCGGAGAGAGCCGCGTGGCGCGCTTGCCTGGTTGAGGGTGAGGTCGATGAGGGTGTCGGTGAGCGCATGGCCGATGTGGTACCCGTCCTCGCGGCCCTGCAGGGCGGGGTCCCCGGACGACATCGAGAACGCGTCCAGCACCTCGTAGCCGGCGGAGCGCATCAGCCGCGCCGCAAATACGTTAACGAACCTGGAGGCAAGCAAGCACCGCTGGCAACGGTTAGGCAGGCCGAGTGGGTTATGCAGCAAAGAACCTAAAACAGCCGTAAGGAGCACCAACCAAAGGTGCTTCAACTTCCAATCGTTCAAAATCGGCTCACAAATGAGAGCAGTTGGACAGCTTGGGTAAACTTTTCGTGTATCCAGGTGTTCAATCTCGTTTTTGTTCAGAAGCCACCAACAACGGGGTTTGCGGCATATCTTCCACACTCCCGTCAGCCAACTCAACGGATGTTCTGAACTGGTTCTGGGGCAGGCTTGCCTCACAAACGTTGGAAGTCGCAGTAGCACGGAAGTGGGCAACCTGGCATGGCATCCAACGGCTGGCTTCCGACAGCAGGCACAGTGACCTTGCCAACGACTCTAGAGGAAGAAGGCATGCACATGCCAGAGTCCAGTACACTGGCGGCAAGGGCCTGGGCGCTGCACCAACCTGATCTTGGAGTCCTGGAAGAACTGCTTGCGGTTCTCGTCCAGAATCTGGTAGAAGACGGACGGGTTGAGCCGCCAGATGACGCGCCCGCGGAAGTTGGCGTGCAGCCAGGCCACCAGGTGCGCCAGGCCGTACATGTAGTCCCGCACAAAGCTCACGTCCGAGCCGCCCTGCCGCCAAGAGGCCGGCCGGTCAGATTGAGAAACCTGGTCTTCAAACCCTTCAACAGAGTGAGGTCTATCGCGAGCTGCTTCAATGGGAGAGCCCCCAGATCACCCGTGAGCACTGAATACGACTCTGCGTTTGACACAACTAAAACGCCTTTCTGCAGTCCCTTAGCTCTTGAATGTAACGAGCGCTGCCAGCTGCCATCTCCTGTGTACACGAGGATCGATTGTGTCGATCAATCATTGATCGATCCATCAAACATCAACCAGTCAACCATGCCAGTGCGTACCGGGATGCTGAGGTCCCACAGCCCCGAGTTGAGCACCAGCACGTCGGAGTCGAGCGCGTCTTGCAGCGCCACCTCCGCATGAGGGTGCGCATTGCACAGGAAGCGGAAGCTCAGGGTCACTGTGGCAGCGGTCCCTGTGGGGTCAGTCACGTTCCAGCGCGCGTCGTGCTGCTGCAGCGGCCAATAGGCGGGCATGTCCGGCCAGTCCACGCCGAGGCGCTCCGACAGGGCCTGGCGGAATGCCGCGCGCATGATGGAGTCTGCACACAGAATACACAGGAGTAGGGCCATCAGCGGGTTGATCCGCCCGTCGGGCATTGGCACAGGATTTTGGAGAGCTCTCACTGAGGGGGAGGCTGTCAAGGTAGTAAGGAAGTGGCACTTCTGTCAGTCACAAGCGCACGTGACCAACGAGAGAGAAGCAATCAAGGAATAAAGGAAGAGGCACTTTGTTGTGAAACAAACAGCTCGCCCGGTGAGCTTTCCTATTTCAAAGGCCATCTAAGCTGAAGCGCAGCCTTTGACAGCGAGGCGTTCGGAAGCTGCCGCGCCAGTCACCTCCCGCGAGCGTGACCCGACGGTGCGGCCCCAGCTTGTGCAGGCATTGCAGGATGTCGTCACCAGCCCAGCCCCGCTTGAGCGCCAGTGCGTAGTTGTAGGGGGCCCACGAGTCGGTGCGGTCCTGGGGCCGGTATGGCCAGTACTGTTTCACCCCATCGCTGGGCTGAGGCACGCCCACCTCTTCAGAGGGAGCGCCCGTGTCCGGCAGCTGCAGGTTGCTCAGCACTCGCTGCACCAGCTGGCGCGTGTCGACATGGCTGGCCTGCAGGCGGGCAGGAAGTATTGACTAATCAGACACAGAGTTCTTTGTTTCTAAGCAACCCAATTGTCGGATTCAACAGTTGTTCTGAACAAACACCAACCGCAGGAACCTGGTTGTACCTGGTCCCACTGTACCAGCTGCAAGCCTGTGCTATTGTCACATACATAGGTCCCCCACCACATTGCGCACTTCCTAGCTCGACTAATCTGTCCGCAAGCCTCACCTTCCAGCTGTGTGTGTCAGACTTTCTTAGACGAGAGGACCCCTTGTCCGCCAGGACCACCACCGCAAAGACAAGGAACAACAGCCACGGCAGATGCTGCTTGACATGCCGCCACACTCGCGGTATGTCCAGCGGCGCTGTAATGCCGCCATCATCTAGTTGAGACGTCATGTACCCTCATCTAGATGGCAGATCTGCAGCTCGCAGGTGTCCTGAAGGGATTGACGGTGTGACCAGTGATTGCGGTTGGTCCATTGGGCACTCTAAGCACAAATGGGTGTTCAAGGACGAGGAGCTGAGACAATGCTGGTGGAAAGCGCCAGCTTGAGAGCCCTGCTTCGACTTGTCCCAGGCCAACAAGAGGCAGGGCCGTCGTAATAACACGGTATACGCCGGCTATTGAACGTCGCCACCATGATGCATCGTGATCGCGGGCTTCTGATCTGAACTTTAAGTTTGAAGTCAAGTGACCACACTTTCTTCGGTATGAGACTTCCACATGAGCATTCAAGAGCAAGACTCAAGAGCTAGTAAGCGGCTTCCACGTGACATGCATCATGTGAGGTTTTCGAGGTCATGAATTGAGGCCCGTTTTGAGAAACGGGAGACCTTTGAGGCATTGACTGTCCAAGCGGTATTCTTGCCAGGCTTCGTTTGTCTTGTGTCGCTTTTGACGTTGCTTGGAGCGGCACTTCTTTTGCCGGTTTCTGAGACTCGATAACTGGAAAGTGACAATCAATCTTGAGGGCGCGTGCACCAAGACTAGCTAGGTAGCTGTTCGCATACCGCTGCCT